TTATATGAAAGTTCCCGAAGGACTTACATTGACTGGTTCAAATATTTCCAAACCCCGGAACACGCTCTCAATTCGGCTGAGGCGTTCACTATAACGGTTTGAAACAATCCGGAAGAATGTGGTATAACCGTTTAAGTGAGTATTTGACTAGTCAGGGATATGTGAATAACGAACTATGCCCTTGTGTGTTCATTAAGAAGTCACATTCCGGATTTGCGATTGTTGCAGTATATGTCGATGACATGAATCTCATCGGAACTCCTGAAGAGCTCGCGAGAACTGCTTCGCACCTGAAGTCAGAATTTGAGATGAAAGATCTAGGTAAGACTCGATACTGTCTCGGTCTCGAGATAGAGCATTGTTCGGATGGAATCCTAGTACATCAATCGAACTACACCCAGAAGGTGTTGCGCCGTTTTAATGAGGATAAAGCGAAGCCTTCGAGTACTCCTATGGTCGTTCGTACGCTAGATGCAAAGCGAGATCCCTTCCGTCCGAAGGAGGATGATGAAGAGATTTTGGAGCCTGAAGTTCCTTATCTAAGTGCGATAGGCGCTTTATTGTACTTAGCTCAATGCACTAGACCCGACATCTCCTTCGCTGTTAATCTTTTGGCAAGATACAGCAATGCACCAACACGCAGACATTGGACTGGCGTGAAAGACATCTTCCGTTACCTTAAGGGTACTACGGATTTGGGCTTATTCTATCCCTACGAATCCTCGAGTGATGCCGCACCCTATGCTCATCGGGTTGATTCTCGCCTTGTTGGTTATGCCGACGCTGGATACTTATCTGATCCGCACAAGGCGCGTTCTCAAACGGGTTATGTCTTTACCGTTGGAGGCACCGCAATATCTTGGAGGTCAACTAAACAGACCTTAGTTGCCACTTCGTCTAACCATGCTGAAATTCTCGCCTTACATGAAGCAACTCGGGAATGCTTTTGGTTGAGAGCAGTAGTGGGCCATATTCGAAGCTCCTGTGATCTTCATCCCCGCCGTTAATGCCCCGACGACGATTTTTTGAAGAGACAACGCAGCTTGCATCGAACAGCTCAAGAAGGGTTACATCAAAGGAGACAACACCAAGCATATTGCGCCGAAGTTCTTCTTTTACACATCAACAACAAAGAGCATCAGAAGATTGAAGTCACGCAAATCCGATCACAAGACAATCTGGCCGACCTCTTCACCAAATCACTACCGAAGGCGACGTTTCAGAAGCTTGTTCATGGAATTGGTATGCGTAAACTTTCTGAGTTGTAACTTTGCTATTTCTCTGTGGAATTATGTCAAACTCAGGGGGAGTATCTTCTGGATACTTGCTTGATCTTAATGTACTTTTTTTCCCTACGATTAGGAGCATTTTTCCCACTGGGTTTTTGCTACCTAACTAGGTTTTAACGAGGCACCCACCTTGGGCTGGTCATATCCCTGATGACGTCCTGTAGACGTTTCTTTTGACTTTGCATTTCTCACGCATTTTTCCTTAGACTATGGATTTTGTCCCTACTTGGGTTTTTGCCATAGCCTTAGGGTTTTTAGTGAGACTTACTACTTATGCAAGTTCCTACCTTATTGAGAATAAGCGTTGTTCCTTGGAATCAATGCCGACGAGTCGACTTCCTCAAACTTCTGCATGATGCTGAATCTACCTTGAGTATTTACCCACTCAAGGGGGAGTGTTGTAAACATTCCTAGTTTAAGTATGATTGTGTAAATCCTAGATAAGATTTGATTCTAGTTATCCTTTCCTATTACAACTTGTATTACTTGGAGGAGAAGGAATATCTTCTCTCCCTTTACTACTATAAATAAAGGCACAATGTAGGAGGGATAACAACACACACATTCCCCTACAATTCTACAAACACACATCTCTCTCCTCTCTCTCTCTGCCGCCGGCCCTAGTCCATCTGTCAGATAAAATAGACCACAACAGAAACGGCTATAAAATCTCAATAGACTAGCTCGTGTCTAACTTATCTTCATACTAAACTATAAGTTATATTTATAGAGAAAAAAAACCTAGAAACCCTAATTCGGATGGGCTAAGCCCATATACTAAACTAACAAACAAACCCAAATAATCATAAAATACTAATATTTTCCAACATACCCGTCAAACTCATGACGGTATACGACATGGGTTTGCAAACAAGCAAATGTGGACTGGCTTCGTTAGGTGGACTGGCAAACATGCAAACTTGACTGGCGAATTAATTCCGACTGGCTAGTGTTAAGAGTATGGAAAGAAAGCATACTAGTACTCCTTGTCATTAAACGGAGGAGATTTCCATATTCCAATTACAGCAACAAACTAAAAGAACCAAGATACCATTGTCACTCGAGTGGTCACAAGTCTAAGCACTCGAGTGACAAATCATAAATGCCAATCTTTTCCCAACCAATTATTTCTCATTGCCCGTTTAGACCTTAAAAAAACCAAACAATTTTTTGTCTTTTCTTTAACACTTTTGATAAAAGTAAAGGTCCATCTGATCAAAATAAAAGGCCATAATCATACAATAATCCGGTTCATCAGAATTGAAGATGGGGGCCAACAGAGCAGCCTCGAACAACAGCAGTTCCTTGGACCGACAACCTGATTCAATTTAGTGGCTCTCAGGCAGCGAGTACCGTAGTGGCGAACCATGAATGGGTCGGATGCAGGTTGATCAGCTGGGTCTGGCAATAGGTGGTGCGCAACGTAGTGCTAATTGATGCAGGATGGATCTAGGTGCGACGACGGTAAGTCATGTAGGCGATGGTGGGGTGGTCATGGATGCTACACGTGGTGGCTTCGGTTACAGACCTTACGTTTCAGATTGGCTCTGGTGCGGTGCGGCTCCGGTGGCTCTGTTGAATATATCACTGCCAGCTCATCAAAACAGTTGTAAAGGATTGGATGATGTAATAGTTAGTTGAAAGAGTTAGTTCTCTAGTCAGCTATATATATAGCTATTGTAAACATATAGTAAAGTGAGTTCATTGAGTTCAATACAAAACCTTCATTCATTCCTTCTCACATTTCTCTTCTCTCTGTAAAACTTCATTTCTTGGTTTTACAATTGTTCATCTTTGATTCTTCTCCAATATAGTTAACAGGCTCACCAGTTTTTCTTTTCACATACTTGTTGGTTTTTTCAAACTACACCAACGACAATCTGAACTAGAAATAAACAATGGACAACACAAACAGACATACTGATACGAATCAAGAACAAATTAAATCCCGAATGATCAACCTTCTCTTATACCAAGTTGAATATAAGAGTATACGACGATCAAGAGTACAAAATAATAAAGAATATTATTAAACAAACGAGAATGCTGAAGTGACTATAAAATCCCAAGAGACTATATCGTGACTAATAACTTCTCTTCCTACTAAACTGTAAGCTATAGTTATAAAGAGAAAAACCTAGAAATCCCAATTCGAATGGGCTAAGCTCACATACTAAACTAACAAGCAAATCCAAATAATCATAAAATACTAATATTTTCCAACATTAATAATATTCTACTTGGACATTGCTAAAACTAGGTCCAAACAACAACTCAGTGTGTTTTGACAGGAAAATTTGGTTTCCTTCAACATTTTATGTGTTTTTTCTTTTGCAATTATTTTGGATAAAAATTGAAATCTTTTGTGATCAGAAGAATCTCAACAGAACGGAAACGGAATTCATTCAAACCTACTTTTATAAAAGGGACAATTTGGATGCGGTCCCTAGTTATCAATATTCTTTGATTGAAACCTTGTTAGTTTTTAGTTTTTGATTGAAGTCCCTGACATTAATTTAATAATGTAAGTTACTATATTTTTTAAATTAAAAATTAAAAATTAAAAATTGAAATTTCTAATTGTTTATATTAATGAGATTTTAAATAAACCCATTGTGTGTGTGTGTACATATATGTATGGGTACATTAACCAAAATTAACAAAAAAAGTTATTGTACCAAAACATGGATACATTCTCAAATCAACGAAAAAAGAATGTACCCATATAAGTTTAAACATGGATTAAAAAATTTGAATGGATTTTATATTAAAAAAGGGTACATTTTACATATAACAAATTGATATATTTGAGAATGGGTACATTGATGATTAAAAAAATTGAAAAATTATATGAATGGGTACATTGAAGATTAAAAAATTGAGAATCTTTTTATATATATAAAAAAAAACTAATACGTACAAACTTAATTTAATTTAATTTTTTTATTATTTTGAAAATGTTTGAATTGAAAATTAATTAGAAGTTTAATAGAAGTGTGAGTATTAAACCCTAAATTAATTACTAATATTTATATTAAAAAATTATATAATAAACATGTAAATTCATTATTACATTAATGCTAGGGACTTGAATCAAAATTTGAGAACTAATAAGGTCTTAGTCAATGAACAATAAGAACTAGGGACCGGATACTAATTTTTCCTTTATAAAATCATTATAGAACACCCTATATAGCTTGCATTATATACTGCAAAAGATATGAAGGGTAAACATAATGTAAAAGTAGCACTCATTCTAATAGTAGGTTGATATTCAGGCCCTTCACACAAATACATCAAAACATTATCATCCTCATGACAGTTTCAGTACTCTAAAAAATAAAATAAAAAATAAAAAAGAAACAAGAAAAACTGTCTTAGATGACGGAATTGTTGTAGCAGCTGATCGTTGCTTCCCAAATATGACATCCCAATGTCTTCTCCCTTTGTTCTACGGGAGAAATATCAACTTTTGAGAGAGCCTCATCTTGCAACAATATGCAGCCATTGACTAAAATCTTCTAAAATCTTTGATGATGATAGGGAAATTGATTTCCACGCACTATATTTTTACTCGTGCACATCCGTTTTATTTTTGGACTTTGGTTTGAATAAAGCAAAAGAAAATCAATGGACCAATTTAAACATGGGTGTGAAGAAAGAGAAACATGTTGTGTAAAAATCATTTTCCATGATGAAGTAGGCCGTATCTCATCTTAATGGAACAATGCTATCCTCATAACTAGTAAGTACCTTCAACCGAGTATTGTTCCGAAATGTCCATTCTGCGGGCAAAACAATCTCATAACTCCTAAAACTTTCACTCTTCATGTCGTACAGATGCACCCTCATACACGCAAGGTCGACCTGGTCCGTATTTAATCTGGGAAATTGGACGAGGAGCTCACCAGTGTGAATGGTATAGAAACGTAAAGGGTATCCCAACTCCCTCCAATGAATGGGAAATTTGAAAGACTCCTTAACCCACACTTGATTTTCATAGTCGTTCAAAATCCATAACCTCATTATATTTTGCCTCATCAACTGCACCCTGTCGCCTAGAGCCAAACGTCCACCCACTTCAACCATAAACTGATAAACCCTACAAAGATTATAATCTTTAGGAAGTTGGATCACTCTACTAAATTTTTCATCTTCAATGTCGAAACCCACAATCATATTTTGTGACCCATTCATCCAATGTATGGCCCCATTGACGCACACGCTTGCTTCATAAAACAGGCAGCTATGAGGATCAAAAGGGAGATTATTAAGGTCCGCCTCTATGCGTTTCCACAAATTTATCCCCAATGTGAATATATTGAACATAAAATGTATACTCCCAGCTCGGACAAACTTTTGCACTTGGAGAACCTTGTACTTGTTTGTAAGAGGACTAAACCCAAAATGATGTGTAACATAGGTTGTGCTAGATGCGGATGAAGTGTGGGGAAGAGCAATAGACTCTCCTCTTACAAACCCAAAATTATGTGTAACGTAGGTTGTGCTAGATGCGGATGAAGTGTTGGGAAGGGCAATAGACTCTCGTGTGCAAGGGTTAAATATGTGAACGGGGTTTCCATGACCAATTTGATTGGAAATTGAGGCATTGTGAACGGAGCTTACTTGATTGATTTGAACAGGGTTTACTTGAAGGTACAGACATACCAAGCCATTGATACTTTGTGCAGTATAGAGACATCCATTGGTTCGCAGCGTTGGAAGGGTTAGAACATGTGTGGCGGGTGTAAGACTTCCTTGTTGGTCGATTTGTGAGGAGAAGAAGTGTTGCTGGCTTGTGGCTTGGTCCCAAGTGGTGAGAAGGAGGTGTGCGTACTTGTTGCGTCCAAAGTGGTGATGGGCCTCAACAAAGGAAGGGTTTTGGGTGATAGAGGACCAAGACTTGCATACGCATTTGAAGCGCATCAAAGACTTAGACGGTAGCCTTGGGAGTATCTCGAAGCATGTAATTTGGCTGGGGAGCTCTGGACCAGTTGATGATTCCATGTGTATTGATCTATATTCTGTACTACTTTCTTAGGATGCAAGTTATCGGCTGGTCGATGGAGCTCCTGGGTTGTATCAGAATAAGAGTAAGAGGTGATATATAAAGAAATGACAAGGTCTAGTTGGGAATGCAGGCCATACAGCATGCTGCTTTGGATCGTCCGCTTGAATCTTTAAAAAAGACAACAGAACGTAACTTCAGCTATGTTTTAATTTTTTGTTGAATTGTTTAAAACCTTTGGAGAGTAAAACAAGGACAGATAAAACTACTACTGATTTAATATTTGATGTCAGTTTTTCAATATATTATTATTATTTTTCCATTTTGTTTTTGTTTTGAAAAGAAAGAGTACAATGTTCGTTAACGTAGTAAATGAAGTACTCACTAAGATATGGAGCCTTCATAGTTCATAGGTCTCGGTAAAAATCTTGCCGGAGATGCATTTGAAAAAAAGAATACAGATGATGTTTAGGATATTCTCGTTATTTCTTGTGACTAGTTAGGGTACCAGAAGCCATATACTCCCCAATACTCATTGTGAGTGAAAACAAGAACAAAATTTGAAACCCCAAAAGCAGCCAAATGTACCCACCAAAGAATTTCGTGGACGTTATGAGTGAAAACATAAGAACAAAATTTGTAACCCAAAGGCAGTAAAATGTACTCATTGATTGACACACAAAAAAAAAAATGTACCCACCACAACATTGCATCAAACAATCCAAGTGCAAGTTCATCATTTTAATTTTTGTTATTGTGATGAAAACACGTAGACAGAAGGTACCTACCACAAAATTTCGATGATTTCACCATCTATATTAAGTTTGACCCATAATTTAATCAGTTAGCATGAGAAATCAAGGACATTATTTTCTACAACATCGGAAAAATAAGTTGATGGATACAAATGAAACCAAAACAAGAGCCAAAAACAGACAGTTATTCATAAAATTGTATATGTATCCAAAGTATTGATCCAAGTTTTTCATGTAGAAGAATTTTCAAAATATAATAGGGAAATTTTATTTAAACCCATATAGCCTATTTCCACACCCAACTTACTCTTTTCACCAATTTGATTTTTAACTAAACTATTAATATCTCTTTAAACCCAAATTTAATACCTAATATACCCCCATAAATCCAATTCAATATGTGGATTTAGTTTTACACCCATTTGATTTTTAGAAGCTAAATAGACCTGGGAACTCCTCCTCGGCCACTTTATTTTCTCATAGAAGCTCATAATTAAGCAGCAGAGGAGGAGAAGACAGCATAAAAATACTTACTGTGCAAATACTTAATAGACAATTAATTGCACAGTAAGTTTTTTTTTACTGTGCAAATACTTAACATCTTTTGTGATGATATTGTTTGATAAATAAATATAATGAAACAGATCATGCAATTGTTGTTTTTGAAGAATACGATACGAAAAAGACAGCATAAAAATGAGGCAATCTAAAGATAAATGGATAAATTAGTGAAATAGAGCATGCACCAACAGTAATGCAGTGCAATAAGCAACTCAATGAAGTGGAGTCAACCTCATTAAGAATCGCAAGTGATTTATCTCTCTCATCTGATAAGTTGAGCAATCGAGACTGAAGCTCCTTCGCTTCAGTTGCTAAAATTGCTTTCTCCCCAAAGACTTCTCCAGCATGCTGCACAGAAAGAATATAACCTCAGTTATGATGCACCCTTAATTAAAATTAGCAGAACTCAGAATCCAATAACTTCAAACTTTAATCACATTTCACAAAATACAACCATGTCATTTGCGTCTTTTGCATGTGCCAACATCCGTTTAAGCTCCTCCACTTTGACCATGATATCCAAACCTCCCCTAGAAGCTTCCTCTTGAACAATATCCACTGCTTTCTCCTGGACCTCCACTTCTCTCATCATGTTGATGACCGATTCCATGGCTGAAAATAGGGGTTTTTGCAACATTGTTAAACGATTAGGAACTCTATCCTCGGGGAGGAGAGAAAAAAATGGTGCCCCCAAAAACTAACTCCATGACAATGGTGGGTCAGCAAAATAATACAAACAAAACATTAAGAATACGCTTTCTAATATCAAAACAAGATTTATTATCCCAAGATAATACATATTATTGGTAAAAAAAAAAACGAATACTTGCTTGTACCGGTGGAGTCCCAGGACTCTGAACTTGCACATGACTGATAGCCAAAAATGACTGTAGCCAAGTTAGGGAACTCACTAAGAACATCAAGGATAGTTGCATCGGCATCGAAGGGATGTTCAATAGCAATAGCCCTCAGAATGCGAAAATCAACCTGAGCCGAATCAGAAGAAATAATATGGACGGTCAGTTACAGTAAAAAGTAAACACAATCATTTACGAACCCCAGCCTGTAAAATAAAAGCTTCTCTCTCAGCTTTTAGATTTATCTGCAAGGAGGAGGAAAAGAAACCCGAATTTTACAAGAGTCAAAAGTTGATCCAAATCCTGGTCTGAGAAAACCCTATTGAGATTTCAGCTAAATGGAAACCAGAACAGGAAAATAATTGCAGGGTTTAATAAGACTGCTGAAGAACAGAGTGAGATTGTGAATCGTGATCCTAGAGAGAGAGAGAGAGAGAGAGAGGAGAGAGAGAGGGTTTATTGATAAATTTGAGTTTTATTATTAATTTCATTTTGTACTTAATAGTAATTATGCAATAGAGTAAAATTGACAATTAACATTTAAAATTTTAAGTTGGATGTAAAAATAGGTTACATAGGTTTAAATAAAATTTCCCAATATAATATAAAGTGATAGCAAATAAAGTCTTAAGGAAAGCGAAATTATTACGTAATTTGAAACAAAATTCCTTCTAGCCAGAACCCTCAGGGCCTCGAACACTATTTTTTGTCAACATTTCACTTGTCAGGGACCGAGTCCATAATGTTCTTTGATTTTACTTTGGACTTGTTTACTCTCAATTTTCGGCTTTTGGTCTAATTGCCTTTGTGGACGAATATAATTGGACACCAAAAGCCTCCACTTGGTCAGGAAGTTCTATGTTCACATTTCATAGACTGACAAGTGTTGAATAAATGTTAAAAAAAAAAAAACACATTTAGCAAATGAACCAAATTGCAACATTCAACAAAAAAAACATTGAATTGAAGCTTGAAGATGAAATAAGTCATCTCACCTTAAGGGGACGATGTTGTCATTATAATTAGCAAGAAACTTCAACCGAATATCATTCGGAAGTATCGATTCAGGAAAAAAAACTCACTTCTAAGACTCCTACTCATAATCTTGAAGATTGGAGGAGGTGGAGCTCGCCAGTGTGAATAGTATAGAAAGGAATAGGGTATCCTAACTCCCTCCAACAAAAGGGAAAGGTGATAGTTTTCTTAACCCACACCTGATTTTGGTAGTCATTTCAAAATCCATAATTCCATTGTATTCATCTGTATCAACTGCCTGTCACCTATTAGAGCCAAACACCCTTCCATTTCAAATATATTTCCTTGCTTATCGTTAATACCATGAATTCCGTAATCATAATCTTTTGGGAATGGGATGACTCTGAATCTCTCGTCTTCAGGGTCGAAAACCGCGATAATATTTTGTGTTGAGTCATGCATCCAATGTATGGCTCCATGGATGAATACAGTTCTCCTGCCAAACTGGCACTTCAGCGGATCAAATCGGAGATCGTTAATCTACCTCTATTCACCTCCATGAACTTGTACCTAGTTTGAAAAACATAAAACTCATTCCCCTGTCGATTTTAGAGGCTGGAACTTTTTTATTTGAAGGACCTTATACTCGTTCGTGAGGGGAGTGAACCCAAAGTGGTGCGTAACATGGATGGTGCGGTACGCAGGTGAACATGAGGAAAAACTATACACTCTCGAGTGCAAGGTTTGAATATTCGAACAGGATGGTTGTGATCGGTTTGAATGGTGAACAAGGTGTCAGAAAGGTAAAGACAGACGAAGCCATTGATGCTCAGCGCTCCGTAGAGACGTTCAACATTCTTACTTGGCGGTGTTGGAAGTTTAAGAAGGTCGGTGACAAGAGTTGGACTTCCTTCTTGGTTGATTTTTATGGAGAAGAAGTGTTGTTGTCTTGTAGGTTCGTCCCAGGTGGTGAGGAGGAGGTGATTCTTCTTGTCGCAGTAGAATTTTCGATGGGCATTGACAAAGGAAGGGTTGCGGGTGACAAATGACCAAGAGTTGCATACACATTTGGAGCGCTTTAGAGACTTCGCGGATAACCTCGAAAGTATCTGAAAGCCAATCACTCCGTTCGGGCGCTCCAAACCAGATGCCATGAATATCTACTAGATTCATGGGAGATTATCCTAACTAACTACTCACAACTAGTTTTGTAGAGGTTTCAAATTCTTGGGGGTGCCTGCCACCCCAAGAATTTAAATCATTTTGTACATTTTTGTTATTTTTCTTACCACAATAAACTATCATATTCATGCCCTTCAAAATATATTTGTCCCTGCAAATTACAATACATATTTAAACACTTGTAATCAACAATTTAAAACCTAAATTTAAAGATATTTGAACGGAAAAGTATATTAATAAAACTCTCTTTGTCAACCAAAAGAGGGTGAAAAACTATTTAACAAAACAAAATTTTGCTATTTTTTATTTAAGTCTCACTTACATGTGATTTTAACATCTCTAAATTTTACAAAAAAAAAATTAAAAAAGATATATTTCTAGCAAATAAAAAATTTGCATTTTTTACAAAAGAACATGGATTAAAACTTACGATTTTCAATCAATTTTGCAAATTCAGACATAAATCACTGTTCAATTTGTTTATTTTCACCTTTGCCTCATTGTGAAGTTCTGAAAACTAAGATGAGACTTTCCGTTGAGATTCTTGAGTGTCGAACCTGATTTGACAATTTTATGGGTCTCACTACTACGTTTTTCACTTATTTTTTTATGTTTTCGGCTCAAATATTTTACTAAATATACATTTGCTGCTCCATGAACTGTAAAACTGCTTTCAAATTCTTTAAAAAGTTTAACTTAATACTCAGGAAAAATATTTTGCAAAAATAAAAAATTCGCATTTTGTCAAAAGACATGGGTGTTACGCGGGCTTAACACACGCAAAACGAGGTGGACTCAGCTCACACAGAACGAGACGAACCATGATATGCAAAACAAGGAGCTCTGCTCATAGAAAACAGGGCGGACTTTTGGTACACAAAACGAGATGAGCTCGCACACGGAAAACGAGGTGGGATAAGTTGCACAAAGTGAGGCCAGCCTTGCGCATGGAAAACAAGGTTGTGTCCATTCACTCCAAAACGATGTAGGCTCCTTGGACGCAAAATGAGGTGAACACCTCACATGCAGAACGAGGTGAACATAGGCACACATGATGAGGCAGGCTCCGCACATGCAGAACGAGGTGAACTCTCTAGTGCTCAGAAGACGAGTTGGGCTCCACGAATGGAAAAATATATTTTGAAGAATATGAATATGATAGTGGTAAGAGAAATGAATTAAAAATTAACAAAAATGATTCAAATTCTTAGGGGTGCCTAAAAGTGATGTGGTGACTTTTTGTTTGCCACCCTCAAGAATTTGAATCATTTTGTGCATTTTTTTTAATTTTTCTTACCAATACAACAAACTATCATATGTATGCTAAAATGACATGGGCTATGTGGATGCAAAATGGGGCGGGCTTTTGGCACGCAAAACGATGCGGACACCTCATATGCAGAACAAGGCCAACACATGCACACATGACAAGATGGGCTACGCGCTCGCAGAACGAAGTGAACTCCCGTGTGCTTAGAAAACGAGTCGGGCTCCATGCACAGAAAAATATATTTTGAAGAACATGAATATGATAGTTTGTTGTAGTGGTAATAAAAATTAACAAAAATGGTGAAAGATTATTAGTAGAACTCTCATTGTCAACCAAAAGAGGGTGAAAGACTATTCAACAAAACAAAATTTTGCTATTTTTTGTTTCAACCTCACCTATAGGTGATTTTAACATCTCTAATTTTTACAATATATATATATATACACTAAATATACATTTTAACATCTCTATACTGTTCACTTTTTTTTTTTTTTTTCCAACTTAAATATTCTACTAAATATACACTTGTTGCTTGATAAACCGTAGATCCGTTTCTAAATACATTATAAAGATTTTCTTAATGCTCACAAAAAATATTTCGAAAAAATAAAACATTTGTATTTTTTACGAAAAACGTGAATGAACGGGCATTGTTTAATCAGCAAGCAACCAAAAGGTCAAGGGTCTCTAAATAATAGACAAATTCTAAGTTTGAATTCATCGTCATAAGTTAAATAACGTGCTCTGGCTTTTACTCGCTTGACTTTACAAAGGCAACATCCTACAAGTTTCTCTTCTGTTTTCTAAGAAAAAGAAAACGATGGCCAACCTTTCACCTAACCGAATCAAAATTAACGGCTGTTTCTAAACTTCGAATATTGAAAGACAGTAGTATATAACAAGATTGTAAACAAATTGTAATTTACGTGTAATTTCTCAACCATTTATTTAAAAATAACTGTAAAATGTCTATGTGCTTCCAGTGATGGTACTTTGTAAATGTACAGAAGAAAATGTACCACTGGTAACTTGTTAACTAACAGTAGGACTAGTATTACTGATTTGGTCCGGGTGAATCACAATTCCATGAACTTGTCGTGACCGGCTGCTTCTGCGTGAAGTTGGAGCCGAGGAAGACATTGATTCAACATGAGGTGGTATTGGAGCTTCGGCTGAGTAGCCAGATATGCAGAGGGCACCGGAATCATCTTGCTCCCAGTAAACTTCTACCATAGTCCCTCTCGGATTTTCTGCAGAAGCTGTCCCTGGAATCCCCACAAACCTAGCTCCTACAGGTATCTGCCAAATCATTGAAATACGATAAGCATAAAACAGGAAGACATGAACTTATGCCGGATTTTGTTGTCATTGCCAGTGTGTCTTGCTAAAGAATACTACAAAGGGAGAGAAATTGTGCTTACCTCAACATAGGCTCCGGATGTTAAATTGAGAGGGACCAACCTCCCCTCAGCTGTGGCAGTTTCTAGCTCTGCCTGCCTCGCAATATTCAAGAAAACTTCTTCGAGAGTTGTAAGACCAAGCTGGATGTCTGATATACCGAATTCACTTTCTCTGTCTTGTAGCTCCGCAAAAAACTTCTGCAGAAGATTATAAAATCCAAAGGAATAAGAACAGTGGCAAAACTGCGGACTCCGTAACTTAGACTCTTCTGTTAAGAACAAGTCATTCATAGTAGTTTCATTTAATCGAGTATATACAAGAAAGTAGAAAGTGAAATGATTACCTTCAAAAGCCCCTCTTTGTCGTGAGGAATAACAAAAGTCAGAAAGGCCTTGTTCTCTTCTTTCGGTAAAACATCCAAATGCTGTCGAAACTTTTCCCTTGTTAGAAATTAACCTTTCTATGTGTAATAAAAGTTTTAAATCATTTTCACAAATTAACATACATCTTTAAAGAACTGCTTCACAGCCTCATGGTGAGGTGTAGTAACTGCATCCCAGTTTGGAGAACTTTGTCCATTGGTGCTTCCAGTGAAGCTCACATTAGCAATAAAACCAGTCCCAAACCGAGACTTAAGCCTGATTGAAGTTCCAATGCAACGGAGCCTACCCTTTGCCATTATTCCTATACGATCACTTAAAATGTCAGCTTCTTCCATCGAGTGAGTGGTAAGGACAATTGCACGCCCTTTTTTTGCATCCTCTATGATGTCCCACACATGCCTTCTTGTTATGGGATCCATACCAGTTGTCTGCAGATCATAAACTAAATCATATAAATGTCGAGTGTCTAGATAAACTTTTTCTCGTTGGTATAGGCTGATAGTTGTCATTTAGTACAAGGGTTGATTCTAGGCATGCAGCTTAAATAAAGGTCTGATTATTATATCAGTTTAATATGAGGCTTATTATCTAATTAGCTTAATTCAGGGCTAATCTTCGGAGCAGATTTATGTCCTCGTGTCCTATGTAATCTCTGAAATTTATTTCAAATATAATGGGGAAAAAATTCTAATTTCCATACCGGTTCATCTAAAATGACTAACTTCGGATCACCAATGAGGGCTATCGCAAAGCTCAGGCGACGTTTCATTCCTCCACTGTAACTCCCAGCTCTCATTTTGGCTGACTCAGTGAGCCTCACCTCTGCCAATGACTTCTTAGCAACCTACATATCAGAAGAGCACTCATCTTTAGTATACCAAGAGTTCAAACATTATCGAAGAAGGCATGTGAAATACCGGGAAGAATTACTCCTTTAATTAGCATAGCACATACCGATTTGATTGAAGACGGGGGTAAGCCCTTGATACTAGCAAACAGGTGGAGGTGCTCTTTGCCAGATAATGCATCCCATAGAATATCAAACTACGACCAAAGACAACATAAGGATTTTAAGTCTAAATATTTCGCTGATGGATTTTAAGTCTAAATATTTCATTGAGTTGCTGCAACATGACGAAAACTATGTAATTTGCATATTTTTTTTAATAATTGTGAGTGCGCATTTGTGTAAGGAGGGAGAGCAGTTCACCTGCGGACAAACTCCTATCATTTTTCTAATTTTTGCCATGCCGACCGAGCTTCGAGCAGAATATCCATAAATCAATGCTGTTAACAAGATAGTTTATAATTTTATCAATTATTTCGTCCCATCATTGCTTTATCAATAAACTAAAAAAAAGAAGGAATAGTATTACCATCTCCGCCTGTCACTGGTGTGATTCCAGTTAGACAATTAATTGCCGTGGTTTTTCCAGCTCCATTTGGTCCAAGTAAACAAAATAACTGATCCTTGGAAAAGTTCACCCATAAACCCTGAAGGTTATTCAAAAGATATCCATTGTTACTACATTATTTAATTGAAAAAAACTGGTCAGATACGCTGTGTCTGCATTATATTGTTTGTCTCAAGCATTACAATATGAATGATGGCTGATGAAAATCATGAAATATCCATAAGTTTAGCTCAGAAGGCCATTCCTATACGCAGCTAAGTGATGCAAGATGTCCTTTCAGTCTCTCAACTTTCTTCTAAATACAAAATGTCAGAAGAGGTTCTTTACCTTGAGGGCATGGTAAGATGAAGTCCTCTTGCAACTACAACAACCAATTTTGGTGGTTCCTGGATATGTCTTGACAAGGCCACGTATCTGAACAGCAACGTTTGGATCTACTATGCCCTCCCTAGTTTGCTGTTTTACAATGTTCTCCTCTTCAAGGACATCTTCATCATCTGCAGTAAGTTGCTCCTGTGATGAAACTGAACCTATGCAACTGCAAATGCCGCCCTCTATGAAAAGAGAGGAAAAACATCGTCATAAATATCATCTAACAACACAAACTCGAGCACAACCTGAATTTCCAGTGTTATTTACCTTTCACTTTGTTTCCACCTTTCCCAAACCAGTACCAAGGATTTAAAAAGTAAAACACCGATTTTCTCACACCAGATATGTTGGGGATGATATTATCGAAGTAGATAGCCAGTACAAACCAGAGGAAGAACGTGACCACCAGCCATACGTATATGTCATTCTATCAAAGTTTAAATGCAAGTATTAATTATTAGAAACAATCAAAAGATTTATAAACTATTGTATATGTTGGAGTTTGAGAATCAATGTGTTTATATACAATTGTTATAACACATTCATCATCATTTGGTGCACACTTTGTTCTTCTACTCCAGCTAATCCCAATATCTTGAGGAGTGGATGTTGCACCAGCTAGTAACTGTAGAGCTTTGGCAAGGAGATTAGGTGGAAAAAATGACCAGATGATTCGGTAGGTCTTGGAGATACTATTAGAATACGGAAATCCGAACGCTGTAACAAGCTGCAAGGAAAAAATGGCTATCAGTACCATTAAACTAACAACCCGTTATACAAAATGTTGAACTGACAAATCTTACCTGGGTCATAAAACCAACAATAAATATAGAGAACCCCACAGTTGTTGATGATGATGATTTGCTTATGAAGGCTGACAACATAAAGGCGAAACCAAGCTGGCATGAAATGTTAGAATGGATGGATTAGAGGTTATTATAAGGATGGCTTCTTAAAAACATTTCAGCAAGTACAATAATGAATCAAAACAAGTATTTACAAGAAACAGTCTTACCATATTGAGTTGGAAAAGAAAGAAGACAAGGAACAAGACCAGAAAACTGTTGTTAAGGAAAAAATCAAACTGAAACATCATTCCAAAGAGAACGATGAAAAGTGATGAAAGAAGTGTAATAATTCCCTCCCATGTGAGCCATGAGAACCAGTATGCAGAATCATAGAGACCCATCATTGTCATTGCCTGTTGGCCAAAACAAAATAAGACATTATAACTAATTGATAATGCAAAAGAACAACACTGCAGTAATACTTAAACCCATTTAACTGGACAGAATCACACGCATTAACATAAAGCTGCTTTAGATCCATCACCTGTCTAAGCTTTAGTTCTTTCTCTGTGATCAAAGAAGTCATTTGAAACACAAATCCAAACATGGCAGTTGCAAGAAAAAAGGTCGGTCCTACTGTGTCGAATGCAGAGAAAAGCTCCATTGCAGGGTGTGCAAATTCCTTGAACGCAACAAACCAGCTAAAATTTGGATCTGACAAGTCATTATGTGAGAGCCAAGGTCAAGCTTAAAATCATGCAAGTAAGGCTTTCTGCAAACAATAAAGAACTATGAGAAACAAAACCCACTACCTCCAATCAGAGAACGAGCAATTTCACGCTCAGCAGCAATCTGGAGCGGAATTTGAAATTTGAAAGTGGGATCTTCATATTGCCCTCGTTTTGCAACAGGAGTAGAATTAGTCTGTATGCCGTAGCTGATAACAGTGGCGTTTCTTTCCACAAAATGCAAAGCTCCTGGGCAGTGCATAGGATTACCATACAGCCATGCATCCACTTCAGCTGTTGTCCTAAACGATTTGACCTTCACAAATAAACGGCACGACAAGATTTACTATCTGATATTTTGATATTCAGACTTTCTTATGCTAAATTTGGATTTTCAAGGATCCTGCAACGAAAACAACGTACTAACACCATACCAATCATCACTCTGTTTAGACAACAAACAATGCAAATGAACAAAACATAACACAAACTCTCTGAACCCGCCTACAAAGATAAGCACAAAGCAAAAAGGATTAAGATTCCAATTTTTTTTCCCCTCCATTTAGCCTCAATTTATCAACCACCAAACCTAAAAAATTAAAAATTATAAAAATTATAAAAAAAAAATTCATATTATAATTTTGAAAAGTTTCTTTGCAGTACATATAACCCAAGGAAAAAAAAAGGTTCCACTGAACTCATACATTTCAGAAATGAATACTTCAGCATCATCACATAATTTCATACAATTTTCACATTCAATGAAAATAATATAAAATGCGCACGAATAAGCAAAAACAATAACGCTACTATAATTGTTATTTGTCAAAAGTTTGATCATTGAAGTGTTTCTCGCTAACGTTATCAGTTGTGTTGGCGCTACATTACAGAACATAGGTTAGATGCAACATATTTTCTTCAGAATCATTTGTCAAACATGGATGATTTTGAATCTCATTTCTTTCAAACAAATTTGGCGACTCCATTAAATTAAACAAATTGATATGCCTTTAGTCAAAATCTCAACCAAGACACAATTAATCTCTGACACAGCTGACGTGGCTCAAAAATATCAACTTTTTATCATTTCCACAATCAAAATTAGAAACTAAAAAAAGAAAAGCAAAAATAGCTGCAACAATTTTCTCGCTAGCCAAACACAAGACAAGGCAACGAAAATTCAGACTCCTCCTTACCTTACCCGACGGAATTGGCCTACCGGGATTATTATCCCTAATAGCGCCGACGATTCTCTGAATTCTCGCGCTGTCGCTTCCGCTCCACACGAAGTCAAAGCACGGCGTCTTAATGTAGTATTTGTCCTCGCACGGCGGGATCGGCGGGGCGGCCAGGGCGGGAGGATTGGCGACGCTCTCGAACGCCGTGGAGGAGGCGTTGCGCGCGTCGATCGCCTTCTGGATGCAGAAGATGAGGAAGATGAAGAAGAAGGAGGAGAAGCTGGAGAAATGTGGCCCTCTTGTTCCGCCATGAGAGGAGGAGGTTCTTCCTGAACAGCGCCTTGAATTGCTGGTGCAGCAGCGGAAACCCGCTCCGCAAAGTCATGGTTTCCTGAGAGCTTTTGCGGTGGATATTTTGAATTTTGACAGTTTCGTGAGCTGGGGGGTTTTATACTGCTTTTCCAGTGAACTCGCGGACTTTTGTTTTAGAGGCCGCGGTTACGCGTCGAGTACCGGGAGGTGTAGGTGGAAATGGAATACCTGAATTGCCCTTGGATTTTTGTTTGATTCGACGGATTTGCCCCTGGATTGGATTTTGAGCTCCTTTTCGGACAAGAACGAGATTTCCTGCCCAATTTTTAATTTTTTATGTGACATTTATTTGGTGTTTTGTAAAAGATGCCTGAGATTTTTATTTTTTATTTTTTAAATTTTTGAAGGAAAGCCCGAGAAATGTTGGTGATATTTCCTGTTATTTATTCAACTTTGAAAAGTTGACATTTTTTGTTTTTTCTTGCTTTAATTTTTTAATTAGTAGGGTCGTTATTTTCTAGGGTAATCAAATAATTAGGGGTTAACCATTTTATATTGCACCCTGATTTCTCCATTTGCAAGTTACACGCGGTTTAAGTGAGAAAATTTAAGATTACTACGAAATTTTAAAATGATGGGATTTATTTTCTAAGATTTGTGAATTTTCTTGTTTGGTTAACTTAAAAAAAACAATAAATTTGAATACGAAATTTGTTATTTTTAAACTCTCACCTATAAAAATTTGGAAATAACACCTATTTACATGAAATTTAATTAAACTTCAAAATTAGGTTCCAAATTTCAAGTTTTTTTTCCGCAAAACTTTAAATTTCTATGTTTATGAATTCAAACAATCTAATTGGTGCATGACAATGTATAAATTCTGAATTTTGTCAAAATTTCAATTTTATTTTCTTCATCCAAACATGTGTTACTATTTTAAGTTTGTCTCTCGTAAATGCGAGTGATAGCAAATATTATGGTTGAGCCATTATTGATATAGCCAAATATTTCAATTTTGTTTTAATTATATTGTTGTATTAACAAAATCATAATACTTAGGAGTAAGAAACAAATAATTATTGTCACAAAAAAAAAACAAATCATTAAATTATTATTGGGACCTTTTTCATTCATTTTAGACTGTATCACCAACAAATACTCTTCTGTTTTTCGCACATGGTTCGTTATTTTTTTGTTACATAAATAAAGTAATCCTCTCGTTTGAATTTCAATGTCTGATTAAAATATCATAGATGATTTTTCCTTTTTAGAAAATAATGATTAAATTCGTATCAAAATCTCGCCCATAAGATAGTATTGGCAAAGCATCTCATTTTGTTAATGAACAATGTTCTTTTACTATATTGTGTTGCCAAATGAATACTTATATTATTAGACGGTAAATCACATGATATGACAGTTGATAGTCAAACTTTTTTTTAATTGATATAAAGGAGTCCAAAAATCAAATTTCTGTATTCAAAATGAATGTGGTCTTAATCATGAATGATATATTTATGATAATAAAGTTAAGAAAAGTTAAGTTTATAAAAACGTGTCAATCAATGGTTAGACCACGGAGAGGCCACCTATTTGGTCTCTCTAATAAGATTGAATCTTCTGCACCCCAAATGTTATAGCCTTTCTGTGACCATTGACTAACATGTGTTTAATAAAATTAACTTTTCTTAACTTTATTATCATTAATTTAATACACACACAGAGTCATTTTGGATACAGAAAATTTGATCTCCTCTCTAACGTCAACCTATTTTAAGTGGTGCTAAGATAGTCAAAACCCATTAATAATGTAACAACAAAGGGGCAAAGTGAAGGTTGGTAGCACGTCTCCCAAAACAATATAGAATCGCACTTGGTTATCAATTCACATGATATGGCACTATGGTAGCCACTCATTCGATACAAAAATGTGCAAAAGTGTTACGTCCCATTGATTCCATAATCTGTAGGAAATTTACTTTTCGGTTGCTTGCACTTTAAGTAACAAACGATAGCAGCATATATTATATACCAAATAGCATCCACTAAGCACACTGAAATTTTACTTCGGAAATGACTGTTTAGTCCCTGCCATTCAAAATTTTAGTTAAGCCCATTCAACGGTCGTGAGAAATGTCTAACATGGTAGAAATTTTCATTATATCACCATCATTGATTATTCAACTTTTCACTTAACTATATTATCTGCATACAAGTTTGTTCAGATGCATATTGATCAGTGTTAGAAACTTAGAGGTTAAGCTGTTTTGAGTCGATAACGAAAATTATATGGTTAGTAAAAAACTTATCTCCTCTAAGATTTGTCTCGATCGTTGGATCTATCTATAACGACTCGTAAGGAAAGACCTATAATGATTTAGTATATGTTCTTATATTTGAGTCCAAAAGTGATATATGGTTAACGTTTGAGTATATGAGTGTTTTGAAGGAAAAAAACATCAGGATCAAACCTAAAATGTTAATATTCTTGTTGGAATACAATATATTCTTGTTGTGGGAGCGAGCTTCACTTTTACATTCAAATGTTATATTGAAGCCAAAATATTTTTCAACTTGACTCAAAGTATATGTGAGTTTTAACTTCCTGATGCATTTAAGCCAATCTTTATGCCAAACACAATCAATGCATTTGATTTTCGGAGAAATTAAGTTTTCATCCTTCATTGCTACTCCACTGATTAAAATCCTATTCCTTTTCAATTTTTGATCAAGGTCCTTGGATATTAATAACATGATTAATTATTTCAATAATAAAATATTTTTTTATATTTCTAAATATATTCATTTAATGTTAAAAATGTTACAATTAGTATATTTATATTTATGACTAAATTTTTTATCATATATTTTTAGTTTTAGTTTTTAAATGTAATTCTTTTTTAATTTGTACCAATTTTCTTTTCAATTTTAATTTGTACCCATTTATTAATTTCTTTTTGTGCCCATATTTTTTAAAATTTATTTGTATTTGTACCCATATATGTTTTTTTATTTGTACTTTTTATTTTGCTAAAGGTACCCATGCTAATTATATGTACCCATTCATGTAAAACTTTTTAATTTTAAAATGTACTCATTCTTAAATATACCAATTTGTTATATGTAAAATGTACCATTTTTTTTATATAAAATCCATTCAATTTTTTTCTAATCCATTTTTAAACTTATATGGGTACATTCTTTTTTCTTTGATTTTAAAATGTATCCATGTCAAGTTTAATCGAAGAAATTTACTAATGTTATTAAGCCTAATATTTTTTTTTTTTTGTGATTTTGAAGAATGTACCCATGTTTTGATACAATAATTTTTTTTGGTTAATTTTGATGAATGTACCCATGTTTATACACACACGCGCGCGCACGCACACACACACACACACTATAGTATATTTATATTTTAATATTTTTAATCCCACAAATTATGATTTTTTATTTAAAATTTCATTTATATAAACAACTAAAATTTCTAATTTTTAATTTAAAAAATATAGTAACGTACATAAAAATAAATTATCACATTAATTTCAAGGACCTCAATCAAAAATTAAAAACCAACAAGGTTTCAATCAAAGAAAATTAATAGTTAAAGACCGCATCCAAAGTCTCCCTTGTTTTTCTTTAACAATTTATCTTTTTCGCCAAATAATTTAAGCAAAATTCCCAAAAAGGACTTACGTACATATATGACGCCATTTATGCAAGATTAGCATGATTAATGGTTGTCATTTGTTGCAAACTGAACATAATTACGTTTAACAATCCCAAATTAAGGCTCAAACAAAAGAGGCATGAAAGTGACCACAATCTTGATAAAAGATGAATTGAAATCAACCAAAAGAAAAATGAGAAGAAAATAAATATTCAAAAGTAGATGAAATCTTATATCTTGTCCCAATGAGGGTTACAAATGTGGATGCAAATTTTCTCCTCCTCGATCTTGGACGATTTTGCACCTACAAAACAACTAGCACCTTAGGTTAAGGTCAAAAGCCTCACGCGCCCACGATGAATAGGGGGGCTTTGGCCGAAGAACCTCCAATGCCAAAGTTAGAATTTTAGAGAGAAATAGTGTTTAGAGTATTTGTGATTTTTTGTAAGAGAATTGGAATGAATTTTTGGTGAGAATAGGTGCCTATTTATAGAGTTAGGCCTTGCCCCATTTTGAATAATGGTAACCGGCCATAAGGTTTTTGTGGGGTTCAATTTCATGTTTAATTAGCCAATTTATTGGCTAATTAAATATGAAAAGAATAAATGGGTGGCTATAAAAATGAATGACTATTTTAATAAGGAAAATGGGAAAGGTGAGGATGTGAATAGTGGTGGCCGGTTTTGGCTATTAATTTGGGTGATTTTATTGACTATTAAGGATGATTTTAGGAGATATGGTAGGTATATATTATTTAGCTAATTGATTAGCTAAATAATGAAATAGAAAATACTAGGTCTTGGGAAATACCTTATAGAAAGGATTTGATGAAAGAGGTTTTTAATTGTTACCTTTTTTGGGCACTTTTGACTTGATTGAAAGATGATTGCCCACTCCTCGCGCGTAGGAATCCTGGTATGCCTCGAGGGTATTTTTGTCATCTTTTGTCCAAAAGTCCACGTGTCGCATAGTGAATATTTTTGACTCCACAAATGCCCCTACACCTGTTGGGCTGCTTGCAGAAAAGGGCAACGGGTGTAGAGATTTTCTCGCTTTAGGAAACTTTGAACTGCTTCCTATTTTGTTGTTGATTCTCTCTTTTTAATAGGAAATTTAATCCTTCTAGGAAAAGGAAATAAATTTCCTCAAAGCTTATTTAAGTCCACCTTAAGTGGATTATTAAATCAACTTTTTTAGAGAGAAACTTATTCAACCTTACAAGAGAGAAAAAGAGCTTAGAGGATATTTATTCCCCTTCCTCTAGCAATCTTCTACGTCTTGCCCGCGTAAAGATCGTCTTTCGTTGCGTGCTTTGTCTTCTCGCTGCTTCTAGGTAAGAAAAAATTAATTTTCTTGTCTTCTTGATTTTCTTGGAAGTTTCGGGACTTGAAATTGGCTTGATAAAAAATCAAGGAGACTTGAAAGTAGACCAAGGGGTGCTGCGGGTTGGTATTGCAGTCTGGGCCTTCGTGTTTAGACTGTGAGGAAGAGAGAAAACTGTGGGGGCAACTGCCCCCTGTCAGCTACACAGGGCCATGGGCCTCTCAGGCCGAGAAGGAAGATGGCAGGTTTGCTGGGTCCTACGGCTTTAAGCCTTTAAAATTTTATTTATTTTGAACCCGTGAGCTGTTTTTTTTTTTTTTTTTTTTTTTTTTTTTTTGAAAACAAATCTCTAACAATCTTCCTTGTACTTTTGCAGAATTTTCAAACATGTCTTCCTCGAGCCACAAGAATAATGATAGTGTGCCCCCGTTGTATCGTCAAGGCGGGTCTTTGAGCAAGATTGGCTACTTCAAAGCTGTTTACCTCAAGATTAGCTCCGACGATTTGTTTAGAGATTTTCTTGAAGCGTATTGGCATGCCATTCCGTCGGGAGTGCGTGTGAGGCGAGTTAAGGATGGTAGCAGTCAGGAACCATGCAGTGGAACTCGGAGAGCTATCAAGTTCCATCCTTACTATTTTGTGTTAAGGTTTACTTTTTGTATGCCGCGTTTCTTCAAAGAAGTGCTCTGTTCCATGAAATGTGCGCCTGCCCAATGTTCCCTGAATGCGGTCCGAGTGATGGTGGGGTTCCACAATTTGAACCAATTCTTTGACTTGGGACTAACTACCAACGAATTTTGGTATTTCTTTGACATAGGTCGTATTGATGGAGTTGGACAACTGCAAACTCGTCATAAGCTTTTTGATAATTCGAGCAAAGGAGATCATGATTGGGCCAAAGAGACTTTGGAGATAAGTGGAGAATGGGAATCTGATTCTTCTCCCGAGCTGCGTGTACCCACAGTCTTCATATCTGGTAAGCAGACTGCTTAGTCTTTTCGGCTGCTTTGCTTTAGTGCCAAATTATTCTTCAATTTTCTGATTGTCTTCCGTTTTTTTTTTTTAGATTCGGAATTTGGCTCAACTCCTAGGGTTTCTCCAGACATGAAAAAAGTACATGTCGCTCTGGGTATCCCTTCTGAGTATCGTGAGTGGTGTTGGCTGCTTAGTCCTCTTCGTAGGGAAAAAGATGGGCTGCCCCCAAAAGAAGAAATAAAACGGATCAAGGTAGACGCGATGGCTCGTCCTATCACTGTGATGGAGCCTACTATCAATGAATGTGGGAAAAAGAAACATTCCCCGCCTGCTCAAGAGATGCCTGCTGAGAAGAAAACGAAGACTGCTCGTGGGGATTTTCCGGCTGCTCCCAAGATTGTGATTGACCTGACTTCCTCTAAGGGCGAGAAAGAACGAACTGCTACATTTGTGCCGGCAACGCCTATTGCTTCGAAGGCTGCTAGCTCGATTGCTGAAAAAATTGCTCAGCGTAAAAGTTCCTCCGTGCCTCTGGTACCGAAGTTTGTGCCGAAGCGTCCGTCTGAGACTAAACCTGGCTTACCCTTGAAAAAGCTTGCTATTATGAAGAGTGATAAGGTGCCCCTGTCTGCTAAAGTGGCGCCAAAAACTGATTCTTCCGCAGCTGCAACCAACTCGTCTGCTGATAAGAATGAAGCTGCTCGTTCAGGCAGGCTTGAAGAATCCGCCAAGGCCGTTTCTCGGGAAGCTGCTAAGATTTGTGCGTTTTTGAAACCAGATCTTCTTGAAAACATGGATGTATGTGCCAAGTTTGTTGATGGCGTCAAAGAGATTGTTGGTCCGAGTCTTTTTACAAAGCACATACCCGAGTATAGGAAGACTGCTCTGCTAGCCATGATGCAGAAAACAACAGTTCTGGCAGCCGAGTCTATGTTCCTTGACCAAGAGGACACCAAGGCTGCTAAAGAGATGGCAAGAACTATGGCTGCCGAAGCTTACTCCTCGGTCGAAAAAATCAAGAAATTGGAATCTGAGCTTGCTGATTTGAAGGAATCTAATACTTCTGCTCCCACTTCTCTGCAGCTTGAGGCCGCTCGCCAGGAGATCATGGATTTGAAGACTAGGCTTGATGCGATCCAAATAAAGTATGAAAATGCAGAGAAGGAAATCGAGCGTTACATACCTCAGATTCAAGATCTTGAGCGTTCCATATCTGAATTTTGCTCTGCTGCTTATGCAAAGGATGAAGAATTGATTGCTACTTACAACCAAGCGATCCACTTCAAAAAGGTTGTTGACAGGCTTGAGCCTCAAGTGTCGGAACTTCAAGGTGTTTTGAAGACCAACGACAATCTGAAGAAGGAAATTGAGGAGTTGCAGCGGGTTCGTGCTTGCCTGCTTGAGGAGAATGAGCAGTTGAAGAGTGAGAATGATGGTTTCAAGGCTTCGCTTATTCAGAATCAAGCCGATTTCTACAAGTTGGGCTATGTAGATCATCTTTATGGGCGGCCGTCTGACTTTGAGTTTTTCGGTAAAGACTTCGAGACCTTCTCTATTTCTCAAGAAGACTTGCTCGTTTTTACCTTTAAGTCTTCTATCGGTGAAATAGTTGAAGGAGTTGATACCCAGGCTGGAGCAGTCGAGGGTAAAGATTCGGAGGATGCCGCTGCTGAAAACACCAAGGCTGCTGAAGGTGTAACGACCTAGCAGTTGGGAGATGTCCAAGCTACTGAAGAGTAGTCTTTTAGGTAGTTTTTAGGATTTCCTTTTATTTCCTTTGTTGCTTTTGCTTTAACTCCTTCGGTATTTTCTTGTTGTTTATCAATTTTGCTATAAAATTTAATAAACTTGCTTCTTTTGCTTTTTTCCATCCTTGTTTTTTTTTTTTTTTTTTTTAACCTTTAGACCTTATAGGCCAGTGGCAGACGTGCTACTTTTCTATAAGCAGACAAGGCCACATAGCCTATGCAGCCGTAGGTGTTGATGTAGAACTTTTGCAAAGCTGTTAACCATAGGGTTGGCAGCCGGATGCCTTACTTACAGAAGCAGACGAATTCGCGTAACCACTTGGCTATTCAACCTTGGCTCTTTCCAATTTCGTAGGCTGTGTAGCAAGTATCACAACACTTTAGGACTTGGTGTAGGTTATTCTGCGTTTGGCAGAGGTGAAGCTTATCGACTACGTATCATGTCGGCAGTGGATAAAATCTTCGCGTGTGCACGCTAACTTGTTTAACCTTTCACAAGAATGTGCGGTTACATACGTCTAGCGTGGTTCTACTGCTCGAAGGGCAAGCCGTAGGCAGTCTTCTGGAATCCGTAGGCTGCCTTAGTGCACTCGGTAGCAGCTTTAGGTTTCCAGGGCAACCGCCCATTGGGTGTGCTGCATAATGTGCCCCCTCCACCTCTAGGGCCCGGTTCCCTGCGGATTAAGCTAATAGACCCATAATCCTTCAACTAGCTAAGCCTTGAAACAGACCATTGTGGCTACTTCTAGGAATCCCGGCGCAAGCCATCATGCACCTAGTTATACTAGGGCAGCCAAGCTCATCCACGTCTGGATATTCAAAGTGTTGAGTTTATCCTCCCGCCTTAGAGAGCACAGTTGGTCCCTCGGGGGGTGCAATCTTCTTTTGAAGTGCAGAAAAAGATAAGTTGTTGTAGACATATAATAAAGCCAAGTTACAAATTACTTCTGAATTCTTTATTGAAAAATGAATAAAACGAGCAAATAACTTGGTTGCAAAAACTGCATGATGATTGGATAGTCCTCGGTTTACGAGGTGGTGCCCGTTGAGCTGCTCGAGTCTTCGGGTCTTGATATAGTGTGAAGTCACACATGGTATTTCCTCAAATTGTAGGCGTTCCATTGTTTCTCGATCTCTTTATCATTCATGGTAGCAAGAGTATAACTACCCTTGCCGCCTACTCTGCTGATCTTGTAATGACCTTCCTAGATAGGGTCCATTTTTTTCGAGCCTTCTCTGCGGGCAGTGATGAAGGCCTTTCTTAGGACTCGGTCTCCGGGTTGGAATTGCCAGATCTTGGCCCTTTTATTGTAGCTGGAAATGAGTTGCTGCTAGAAGGCTGCGATGCGGGTGATGGTTTGTTCGCGCCTCTCTTCTGGCCATCTCTTTACTGTTCTGCTCAACGCTTGGCAATAGAGTGTTGATGCTTGGCACGATGATGTTGGGAGGAATGATTGCTTCCGAACCAAAAGCCAAAGAGAAAGGAGTTTCACCGGTTGCTCGTCTTTTGGTGGTGCGATATGCCCATAAACATCCCGGGAGCTCATCTGGCCATTTTCCCTTTTTGTCGGTGAGGGATTTCTTGAGGCAATCGATGATCGTCTTGTTGGATGCTTCGGCCTGCCCATTGCCTTGAGGATATCTTGGTGTGGACATGTGTTGTTTGATGCCGTATTTTTGGAAGAACTTTGCCAAATCTTTTCCCACAAATTGAGGGCCGTTGTAAGTGACGATGGACTGAGGGATGCCAAATCGGCAAATGATGTTCCTCCATATAAAGCGCTCTATGTCCGTCTGAGTCGTGGTCGTCATGGGTTCTGCTTCTACCCATTTGGTGAAATAATCGGTTGCCACGATCATCATGCATCTGCCCCCCGTAGCAGGTGGCATAGGCCCTACCAAGTCGATTGCCCATTGCATGAATGGCCAAGGACTCGTTTGCGGGTGTAGCTCACTGGCGGGTAGTGCTGGTACTGGTTTGTAGCGTTGGCAGCGGTCGCACTTTTGTACTAACTCCTTAGCATCTTGGTGCATGGTAGGCCAGTAATAGCCTGCGTTAAGAGCTTTTTGGGCTAATGATCGGCCTCCAGAGTGATTCCCATAAACGCCTTCGTGGATTGAGCTTAGAACCTTCAAGTCATCGGGAGGTGCTAGGCAGCGGAGATGTGGTCCGGTGTAGGATCTTTGGACGAGATTGCCATTCCACATATAGTAGCGTGCCGACTTAATTTGGAGCTTCCTTGACTCCAATCTTTCTGTGGGTAATGTGTCGTTGACCAAGTAGTCTATAATTGAACTTTGCCAGGTGGGAGTTACACTAACCTGTGACACTTCGGCTATCGGCTCCATCTCTATGCTTGGCTTGTCTAGATATTCCACCGTAATGGAGCGTTTAAATTGGTGGTCAAGGGCGAAGCCTAAACCAGCTAGTGCATCTGCATGTGCATTGTCTGCCTGCGGAAATTGAGTGAGAGTGTAAGTCTGAAATGCTTCAAGCTGCTGGCGTACTTTCTTTAGGTATTGTGCCATCCTTGGGTGTTTTGCCGTGTATTCCCCAGTAGCCTGGTTGGTGATTAGCTGGGAATCAGAATGAATTGCGAGTTTCTTCACCGCCAAGTCTTTTGCCATTCGGAGGCCTGCTAGTAGAGCCTTGTACTTTGCTTCGTTATTGGATGCTTTGAAACCTAGAGTGATCGCCTGCTCGAGCATTGAGCCATCTGGAGTAACAAGAACTACACCTGCTCCCGAGCTTTTATAGTTGGATGCTCCATCGACATGCAAGTTCCAGAAATCTTAATTGGATTGAGTAAGTGTGGCTAAGGTACTCTCGACTGCTTCTGGGGCGTCGTTGGGCCGCACTGTTGCGTTGCCTAGGCTAGGCGTGAATTCCGCTACGAAGTCTGCCAAGGCTTGGGCCTTTATCACTGTGCGAGGTCGAAAAACTAAACCATATTGGCCAAGTTCTAATGCCCATTTCATCACTCGTTGAGAAGCGTCTGGACCATGTGATATTGATCGTAAGGGATATTGAGTCATAACAATGACTGTATGAGCTTGAAAGTACGGTCTAAGCTTCCGAGCCGCAACAACTAACGTCAAAATTAATTTTTCGATCTTCGGATATCTTGTTTCCGCATCGAGAAGAGCTTTAGAAGTGTAGAATACCGGCAGTTGGGCCCCCAACTCTTCTCGTATGAGAGCAGAGCTTACTGCTACCTCGGAAACTGCCAAATAAATGTATAAATCCTCCGTTGCTTCCGGCTTGGATAGTAAGGGAGGTGATGTGAGATAATTCTTCAAGTCTTGGAAAGCTTTTTCGCATTCTTCATCCCATTTGTCTCTTTGTGCCCTCTTGATAGCTTTGAAAAAGGGCTTGCATCAATCGGTGGATCGTGAGAGGAAGCGATTGAGGGCGGCTGCTCGTCCGGTCAAGCTTTGGATCTTCTTCAAGGTAGTTGGAGATTCATCTCTATGATTGCTTGGATTTGCTTGGGATGTGTTTCAATTCCTCGTTGGGTTACTAAGTACCCTAATAATCGGCCTGAAGATACTCCAAACGTGCACTTGGTGGGGTTGAGCTTCATCTTGTACCTTCTAAGGATATTGAAAGTTTCTGCTAAATTGCGAATGTGATCTGATCGCTGCTTGCCCTTTACCATGATATCGTCGACATAAACCTCCATGGTTACCCCAATTTGCTTTTTGAACATCATATTTACTAGCCTTTGGTAAATGGCTCCCGCGTTCTTGAGGCCAAAGGGCATGACCTTGTAGCAGTAAGTGCCTCGCTCTATCACGAACGCAGTTTTCTCTTTGTCGGGCTCATGCATGGCTATCTAGTTGTAGCCGGAGTATGCGTCTAAGAAACTAAGCAACTGGTTTCCAGAAGTTGAATCTACTAATAGATCAATCCGGGAGACAGGATAATGGTCTTTTGGGCATACTTTGTTGAGGTCGGTGTAGTCTACGCAAACCCTCCATTTGCCCTTCTCTTTCTTCATGACTAGTATGACATTAGCAAGCCATGCCGAGTGTGCTACCTCTTCTATGAAATCGGCCTCCAATAGTTTGTCGATTTCTGCCTCGATGATCACTACTCGTTCGGGTGCGAAATGTCTTCTTTTTTGAATTACCGGTTTGGCAGTTGGATCGACGTGCAGCTTGTGGCAGGCCACTTTGGGATCAATACCGGGCAAGTTGGATGGTGACCATGCGAAGATATCTCGGTTTTTTCTAAGGAAAATTGTGAGTTCTTCCTTCTCGTCTGGGCTTAGTCGTGAACCAATTTTAGCCATATTTTTCGGCTGCTGGGGATCAAGAATGATGTTTTCGGCGTCCTCTTCGGGTTTCCATCCTATCTTGTCTGCTTGGGCGCCATCTTCTCGATCCACCTGCTGTAATTGCTATTTGGTAATTTCTTTGCCCTCTTGGACTTCGGTAACCTCTACGGGGGTAAAGGTCTTCTTCTTTGATTCTTTCAACATTGCACAGTGCATCGTCGGGATGAAACCTGGTCAGACTTGATCTCTCCGACTCCTCCTCCCAGGATGCGGAATCAGATTTTTTGATACCTGACGGAAGTGACGGCATCCAGCATGATCAACCAAGGTCTCCCAAGAATCCCATTGTAAGGAGATAGGTCACTTACAATCATGAATGTTTGTTTTGAGACGACTGGATGTGTTTTCACGTCAAGTGTGATATAGCCGATGGCAGTTGAGGTGTGTCCGTTAAATCCAGTAAGTACCTCTGCCCGGCGTATGATTGTATTTTCCAGGCCCATCTTCTGAATGACCGAAAGGTGAAGTAGGTTGACCACACTTCCATTGTCAACCATCATGCTATCAACTATAGCATGGGCTAGTTGGACAGGTACTACTAATGCATCGTCGTGTGGGAAGTCGACTCATTCCGCATCCTGCTCCGTGAAGCCAATGATAGGTCCAGGTTGGGTATCGA